CTTATAAACTAGTATGAATTAAAAATAATGCGACTTCAAGGGCATGTATAGTCAATCTTATGTTTGGTACGTATGACAACATTTGACAAGACGGCTCACCTAATCGATAATCAAATAATATAACATATTACCAAATTGGAGTAACAAACCATAAGAACAAGGGGACATAATGAATGATTTATACATGGTCGATAAAGACGAAGCAAGTGCACAGAGACTGATCGTCATAGGAAGTAAAGTGCCAAAACTACCCTTCAATGAATGTCATCCTTATTAGAGCTTTGAACGAATTGACGAAACTACCCCTCCACGAATTTAGTGAGTGTTACTGTTTCACCTACCATCTACAATAATGGAATCGAAATCAAAGCGGTGAATTAAAAACTCACCAGAGAAAGGAGATACCGGCGGAGTTGAACCGGCCGGTGAAACCGGAGCTGAACCACCTTGGTATCCTGGTGGTTTAACTATCATGATGCTTCGTGTTACTTTCACGGCTTCATCCGGCGAATCCTCACCGTACGATCTCACGTTTCCACCATCCGATTGATCTAAATACAGAAACAAATTTAACAAAAAAGCATCAGATCGAAGATTAGGCCAAGAAAATCATCCGATGATGCTATTTTTTTTTAACTTGATTCATTTTAGAAATCGGATCGATTGAATACTCCAGTGCATGCGTTAAAAGTTTACTTTTAGAGATTTTGTTATATTGTTTTTGAAAACGAGTCACCGGCTCAAGATAGCAAAACGCGGCGTACCATTGCCGGAGCTAGGTCGGAAAGTGAAGGTATGGTGCTTCCGAAGCTTGCCGAGGCCGTTCTCTGGCCGCGGACCAGCGACGGTATCATCCCAGAGATGGTCGAGTAAACCCATGGGGTGGGTGCGCAAGTTATCAAAGGCTAATTGTTTATGAATCACAAGTTTAGGCGCAGGTTAGGCTTTCGAGGCTGTTGTAAGAGATTCAATGATTCATGAGGTAGTGATGTTTTAAAGGCCATCGGGGAGATCTCGTCCGTTGATATTAGTCTGACGTGGCGCTCGGATCTTAGCTCACGCAAGGTGGATAAGGACGATTGGAGGGCGGGACCCGATAAGCTCGAGATATTTAGATCGGACTGCCACGTGGCTATCATCGGAGGGTCATAAATGCATCTCACGTGACCGCATCTCTCGCTTTCTCGTTATTTACGATAGTACCCTTATCTTTATCTAGATTGAGATCAAAACACTCATCGATTTCCGTTTATTTACACTGCTACCCCCTCCTAGGATCTTACTTCTTAGCCGCCGCCGGCATCATTTCACAAGGATAGGCATAGAGCTCGGAAAAAAATACGTTAAATCCGATACGATTCGATATTCGTTTTGATTTATATCGAAAAACTTGAATATCAGTAAAATTTCGAAACGAAACAAATACTAAAATATAGCATCCGTTAAAAGCAATACAAATCGCCTGTTGCTAGTTCATGAATTTGTGTTCAAATCGTTTTCACATGACGCGAAAAGATATGTAATGGAGGTCTTTAAAGATTTAACCGTTGACGACACAATCTCTGGACCTTCTTTGAAAGGTTTATTTTGCTAAAAGATTTGGTCACAAAGGTTTTTATGGTCACAAACATTAGTCAAATAGATTTTGGAAGAACAATTAACATCGTCATCAACCACTTCGTCTTCTCTATTAGCCTTCGGATTTATGTCGAGAGGACGGACTAGAATTCTTATATGATTTATGTTTCCATGTTTTTATTTTTTTGTCATGGGATCATTCCATATGTTTACAACTTAGTTTGTAAACCTAAAACTTTTTTTCATTTTTAATGACATATTTACTATTTAGGAAAAAAAAAAACCGCAAATACTATTTAAAAAAATAGCGATATCCGAACCGATCCGTTTATATATATGTCACTTATATAACGTAACAAATGTGTATATATTTTTTTATTATAAACATAACCGAGAAACTGGAACCACTCATTCTCACTAAATATT